TCCTGGTTGCGGTCGTGGCGCTGCTGGTCGCAGTCGTGGTGCTGCTGGTCGTGGTCGTGGTGGTGCTGCGGGTCGCGGTCGTAGTGGTGGTACTGCTGGTCGTTGTCGTGGTGGTGCTGCTGCTGGTCGCAGTCGTGGCGCTGCTGGTCGCAGTCGTGGCGCTGTTGGTCAAAGTCGTGGGGCTGCTGGTCGCCGTCGTGTTGGTGCTGGTGGTGCTGCTGGTCGTGGTGGTGCTGCTGGTCGTTGTGGTGCTGCTGCTGGTCGCAGTCGTGGTGGTGCTGGTCGTAGTGGTGGTGGTGCTGCTGGTCGCAGTCGTGGTAGTGGTAGTGCTGGTTGTGCTGGTGATGCTGGTCGTGGCGGTGCTGCTGGTCGCAGTCTCGGTACTGCTGCTCCTGGTTGCGTCGTGGTGCTGCTGGTCGCTGTCGTGGTGCTGCTGGTCGTGGTCGTGGTCGTGGTGGCGCTGCGGGTCGCAGTCGTGGTGGTGGTGCTGCTTGTCGCAGTCGTGGTGGTGCCGCTGCTGGTCGCAGTCGTGGTGCTGCTGGTCGCAGTCGTGGCGCTGTTGGTCGCAGTCGTGGGGCTGCTGGTCGCCGTCGTGGTGGTGCTGGTGGTGCTGCTGGTCGTGGTGGTGGTGCTGCTGGTCGTTGTGGTGCTGCTGCTGGTTGCAGTCGTAGTGGTGCTGGTCGTAGTCGTGGTGGTGCTGCTGGTCGCAGTCGTGGTGGTGCTGTTGTGCTAGTGGTGCTGGTGGTGCTGCTGGTCGTGGTGGTGGTGGTGCTGCTGGTCGTAGTCATGGTGATGCTGCTGGTCGCAGGCGTCGTGCTGCTGGTCGCAGCCGTGGTGCTCCTGGTCGTGGTCGTGGTGGTGCTGCGGGTCGCTGTCGTGGTGGTGGTGCTGCTGGTCGCAGTCGTGGCGCTGCTGGTCGCGGTCGTGGGGCTGCTGGTCGCCGTCGTGGTGGTGCTGGTGGTGCTACTGGTCGTGGTGGTGCTGCTGCTGGTTGCAGTCGTGGCGGTGCTGGTCGTAGTCGTGGTGGTGCTGCTGGTCGCAGTCGTGGTGGTGCTGCTTGTGCTAGTGGTGCTGGTGGTGCTGCTGGTCGTGGTGGTCGTGGTGCTGCTGGTCGTGGTCGTGGTCGTGGTGGTGCTGCGGGTCGCTGTCGTGGTGGTGGTGCTGCTGGTCGCAGTCGTGGTGGTGCTGCTTCTGGTCGCAGTCGTGGTGCTGCTGGTCGCAGTCGTGGTGCTGCTGGTCGCAGTCGTGGGGCTGCTGGTCGCCGTCGTGGTGGTGCTGGTGGTGCTGCTGGTCGTGGTGGTGGTGCTGCTGGTCGTTGTGGTGCTGCTGCTGGTTGCAGTCGTGGCGGTGCTGGTCGTAGTCGTGGTTGTGCTGCTGGTCGCAGTCGTGGTGGTGCTGCTTGTGCTAGTGGTGCTGGTGGTGCTGCTGGTCGTGGTGGTGGTGGTGCTGCTGCTGGTCGTAGTCGTGGTGGTGCTGCTGCTGGTCGCAGTCGTCGTGCTGCTGGTAGCAGTCGTGGTGCTGGTCGTTGTCGTGGTGGTGCTGGTCGTAGTGGTGGTGGTGCTGCTGGTCGCAGTCGTGGTAGTGCTGGTTGTGCTGGTGGTGCTGGTCGTGGTGGTGCTGCTGGTCGCTGTCTCGGTGCTGCTGCTCCCGGTTGCAGTCGTGGTGTTGCTGGTCGCTGTCGTGGTGCTGCTGGTCGTGGTCGTGGTCGTGGTGGTGCTGCGGGTCGCTGTCGTGGTGGTGGTGCTGCTGGTCGCAGTCGTGGTGGTGCTGCTGCTGGTCGCAGTCGTGGTGCTGCTGGTCGCAGTCGTGGCGCTGCTGGTCGCAGTCGTGGGGCTGCTGGTCGCCGTCGTGGTGGTGCTGGTGGTTCTACTGGTCGTGGTGGTGGTGCTGCTGGTCGTTGTGGTGCTGCTGCTGGTTGCAGTCGTGGTGGTGCTGGTCGTAGTCGTGGTTGTGCTGCTGGTCGCAGTCGTGGTGGTGCTGCTTGTGCTGGTGGTGCTGGTGGTGCTGCTGGTCGTGGTGGTGGTGGTGCTGCTGGTCGTAAATGTGGTGCTGCTGCTGCTGGTCGCAGTCGTGGTGCTGCTGGTCGCAGTCGTGGTGCTCCTGGTCGTGGTCGTGGTGGTGCTGCGGGTCGCTCTCGTGGTGGTGGTGTTGGTGGTGGTTCTGCTGCGGGTCGCAGTCGAAGCGATGGTCGCCGTTGTGGTGGTGGTGGTACTGCTGGTCTCCTCGTGGTGCCCGCTGCCGTGTCGGGGGTGCTCCCGGCGCTCGTCGGAGCCCCCCGGGGCGGCCGTGCTGGCCGCGGTGCCAAGCATCAGGGGCGTGCTGGCAGGCGGCTAGCAGGTGGGCCGGCGGCGTCTGCGAGCAGCACTTCGGCCAGGTCTGGGTCGCCCTCCCCGGCGGCCCCCCCCAAGGCTAGGTAGCCGTCGCCCGTCAGGGTGGCCATGAGCGAGTCCTGGGCCGCGACGCTGAGGAACCCCCACCAGCGGTTGGTGTACGCAAGCTCCGCGGAGCGGCGGAGGAGGGCCGGCGCGGCCCGCGCCTTCTGCTTGGCAAGCAGGCGTACCAGCTGGAGGAAGTCGCGGCCCCACCTGCCTCCGACCTCGCAGGAGAGGACCATGAGGCGGCCTGAATGGCCGGTCGTGAGTTCGTGGTACCTGCGTCGTCTGCGCCTTTCGGCCACAAGTAGCGCGGCGCCGTCGATGTCGAAGGTGCGCGGCCGGTGCCAGCCGCCCCTGCGGAGGGGGGACACCATGGTGCTGTCGCAGCACAGCGGGGCGCCGTTCGGCGAGATGCCGTAGACGACTAGGTCTAATTGTCTGCGGTCCAGCGGGTTGTGGACAACGGCGTTAGTGTCCCGCAGCAGCTGTTGGGGGACAACTCTCCCTCCTGCTTCTCTGGCGACCCTCGCCCAAGCTCGTTCGAGCGGTTTCGCGCGTCTGGCGAGAAGCCCCGTGCGTGGGCACGCGGCTAGGTGGTCTCCCAGCGTGTCCAGCCGGGCCCGGCAGCCTGGGCGGGCGGCTGCCCCGCACGTGTGCGGGAGGAGCGGCAGCGGTAGCCTGAGGCGCCGGCGCAGGGCTGCCAGGAACCGCGCGGGCTTGAACACGTGCCCCTCGGTGGTGGGTAAGGTGTGAAGCCAGTAGGCGGCCCTCGGTCCTGAGCCTGACCTTAGCATGGCCTGGTTGGCCCTGGTGAGGCTGGGCATGAGCACGTTGTCCCTGTAGTGTGTGTTGCGTGCGGAACAAGCGTGGAACTGCCAGCCGTGCTGCCATTCCCCCGGTCCGGCGGCCTCCGAGCGCGGCGGCGCTTCTGGGCGCAGCCCCTGGAGCAGGTCGGCCCAGGAAGGTCTCCGGAAGCCTTCGGTTTCGAGCAGCTGTGCGGCCGTGGCGGCTGCGGCAATGTTGCCCCTACGGCTGGGCCTGGTGCCGTCGAGGAGGTCCCTGATCGCTGCAGCTTCAACGGGGCGCCGTTGGTGGAGCATGTGAGGGCGTCTGCCCAAGCGCCCCAGTAGGCCGCTGGGGACGTGCGCGCGGCGCTTTGGAGCCCAAGTCCTCCGTGTTGTCCAGGCATTGCTGCCAGTGCGCGCGCCCGTCGCTCTTCGTCTTGCGACATTGCGGGGTCCCCGAGGAGGCGGCGCAGGGTGGCCCACACGTCGCCGTCGTGGCCTCTCGCGCATTCTGCGATTTCCTCTGGCGGCAGGGTTCGCAGCAGGTGGTTGGCCCGCGGGAAAGCGCAGAGGAGGAGGAGGAGCCAAGCGCACTGTAGGTCGGGCAGGTGCGCCAGTTCGTCCAGGAGTCTCCTCTCTTCCTGTAATCTGCTCTCCAAGTGTACGGCGACGAATTCTGGGGTGCCTAGGGGGGTGCCAAGGATCTTGATTCCTCGGTCGGGTGGTGCTCTGTCACCCCTCCAGACGTCTTGTCCCAGCTCGCCAATTCCGGGCGGCGCTGCGCCTCCGCCCCTGCTGTAAGCCCGGCACTTGCCAAAGTGGCAATCCACGTTTGCGTGGAGGTGAATTGCTCCGGTGGTGGTGTCGAAAGCGGCTCTGGCCCTGGCCCGGGTGGTCTTGATGCACACGTCGTCCAAGAAAGCGACTGGGAAGTCCCCTTGCTCTAGGGTCCTGGAGGCGCCCGCCAGCGCTCCGTGCAGGGCAAGAGCGAAGAGGGCTGGGGCCAGCGCGTCCCCCTGCCCCACTCCCTCTCCCTGGTGCACGTCGTGCACAGTCCCCATTTCGTCTTGCCAGAGGTAGGTGGAGTCTTGCCCGTACCACATCTTCACGAAGGGGATTAAGCCGGCCAGCTCTGGGCGAGCAAGGAGCTCCTGGGAGAAGGCCGACCTCGACACATGGTCGAAAGCCCCGACTCCATCGATGCTGACAATCACTGCGTCATCGTCGTGGCCCAGCACTGACCTCAGCAGCATGGCGGCGCAGTCGGTTCCTGCCCGCGTCGTCAGGGCGAACTGGAAGGGCGCAGTTGCGGCCGCGAGCTGCTCGGCGAATTGTTGAGCGAGCGCCCTGGTGACCAGTCGGCGGAAAACGTCGCCGGCGGCGATGCCCCGTACTCCGTCGTCTGGTTTCTGGAGCGCCGTCATCTTGCAGAGGGTTAGAGCGCGGGCAATCGGGGAGGGCACCCGCGCCTCCGCGAGGGCAGCGGCGGCGAATCCAAGCAGGTCCATGGACTCTTCGTGTTCCAGCAGCGGCTTGAGGTGCTCAACGCGGACCCCCGACGGTCCTGCTGCCGTGCCCTTTTTGGCGGACCGGAAGCAAGCGAGGAATTTGGTCCTGTTTGGCGGGTAGCCGGCGGCTCAGGGTAGCCGGCTCGAGGAATTCTCGCTCTGTCGGTTGCGCGGTCTAGGTTGGCGGGTAGTCGGCGGCTCAGGGTTGGCGGTCGGCGGGCCGGGTCCCGCAGCCTGTTTAGTGTCTCCCCGTTGCCGGGCGCAATCGCCGCCGCGGTCAAGACCTGTCTCCCCCGTGACGGGCTGCCGTTTCGGACGTGCGCGCAAGCCTGTTATCTGCGTCTCTCCTGGTGTTGCTCCTCTGTGGCTGGCCTCGGCGCTGCGCGCGCGCCGGCCGTGGTGTTGGCCTCGTGTAGCAGGGCCAGCCAGTCGCCCTGGCGGAACCGTTGGGCGCGTTCCAAGAGCTCTTGTCGGCCCTCGGCGTCGGTACCCTTGGGCTTGCTTAGCAGGAGCCTCGAGGCGAGGAGGAACAGTGTCCATCCTTGGTGGGTTGTTGCTTGGTTGCCCTGGTCGTGTCCTCGCTTGATCCTCTTCAGGGCCGTGGTGAACGCCATCCGGGTCTCCGCGCGCAGGAAACGTGGCACGTTCTGTAGTGTCGGGACGAATCTCCGTAGCTCTTGTTGGAGGTCGATGCTCCCGAGAGCTGCCCAGGACTCTTCGGTGGGTCCGTTGCTCGGGGCTGGGGCCTGCGCTGGTTCGGCCTCGTGGTCGGTCTCCTCGGTGCTGGAGTTGCTGCCGCTGTCGTTGGCGTCTCCCTCCTCCGCGCCCGTGTTTCCGCCGTCGCTGCCGCTGCTCGGGCTTCCTCCTCCCCCTCCTCCGCCGCCTCGGCCTCTTCTGGCGCCTCTTCTTCGTCTGCTTTCTCTGGCGCCTCTTCCGCTTCTGTCTCCGGGGGCGCCTCTGCCCGCCACGGCGGCAGGGCCGTTCGCGTGCTGGTCTCCAGGCAGCTCCGGCTCCTGGGGCACCTCTGGCGGTGGGAGCGGCGGCGGAGGAGCCGCGTCTGCCCAGAAGCCTGGGTTGCGCAGCTCGTTTGTGCGTGCGTCAACTCCTCGTGCAAGCACGCCGCCGCCGAAGGCTTCGAGGAGGAGGTCTTGCACCAGCGGGCGCATGTAGCCGGTGCTGCTGTGCGCCACGGCCTGGGCGACCGGCGCAAAGGATACGTGCCCTGGGCGCTCTCCTCCGTCTGCAGCAAGCACCGCTGGTACTTCCCCGGGCCGAGCGTCGGTGTACGCCAGCATTTGGACAAAGGGCCCTGTTAGCACAGGTCCTGCAAGCCGCAACGTCTCTACCGTCGGCTGCCACCAGGCCTGCGTGAGGCGGTGCTCACTCCACTGCGCCCCTTCGCTTGGGTCTAAAAGCCCGGCGGCCGCTAGCAGCAGGGGCACGTACACTGCCGAGTTGGTGCGTGCCTGGAGGGGCGCTTGCGGTGGGGCCCAGCCGGCGAAAGGGCTGTGTTGTGGCGGCCTCGCGGCGGCTCGCTCTGGCCCTGGTGGAGGGGCTGGTGGTGGTGGCTCTGGCCCTGGCGGGGCTGGTGGTGGGGCAGAAGGCACTTCTCTGGTCCATGCGTCTGGTTCGCACAAAGCGCACCTCCATTCGCCTTCGGCCGTGCTGGCTTCCGCGGTCCACGTGCCCTGCTCTAGGCACCTCGCGCACATCTGTTGGCCGCCCTGTGGCGCGATCGCGTCGACAGCGCAGCGCGCCCCGCAGCGTGGGCAAAGCCATGGCTCAAGCCACTGCGTGATCATCCCATTGGCGTCGCGCGCAGCGATCTCCGGGGACCATTCCACGCGGCGGTCTGGCACTTCGGAGAATCCGGGCGGTGGGCCGAGACGTCGGCCGCAGAGCGCTCGGAGCAGCGGTGGCTCCCGTGGTGGTGGTTCTTCGCCTCGCGCGTAGCTCCGAAACCCATTGTAATCTGGGACGGCCTGGGCGCTGGCGTCGTGGGCCGGGGGCGGCGGTCGGTCCATGTCCACGCCTTGCGCGGCGCACCATGCCCGCAACTCGGCGGTGGTCGGGAGTGGTGGCTTCGCCAAGGTGGCGGGTCAAGTCGGCGCGGCAGCCCAAGTGGAAGTGGGCGCCACAGCATGCCTCCTGTGTTGGTGTGTCCCTGCCCGCCCCATGGTGCGGGATCACTTCCTGGCAGACGACGCAGATGTTGGCGTCTTCTGCCGGCGCTGGTGGTCGGTCTGGCTCCTCCCGCGCTGTTGCTGATGCTTCTGCTGCCTCGCCCTGCGTGTCGCCGTGCGGGGCGAATAAGCCCGCAAAATTCCATCCGCCTTCTGGCGCCCTCCCGAAGACGGCGCCACAGTGGTCCGGCACGGCTGGCGCGGCTGGCGCGCCAAGCTGAATTCCTGCGGCTTGTAGCCGAAGCAGAGCCCGTGGTGGGGTCTCTTCCTGCGACGGGATTGGCGCCGCGCCGCCGGGTGCGTGCTCTGGCGACTCTGGTGGTGACGTCGTGTGTCTCGGGCGTGGTGTTCGGGGGCTGTCCCCGGGTGCGTCTGGAGGTCCTGGGTGGCTGGCCTCGCCCACTCGAACGCCTCGGTAACCCCATCGCGCGTCGCGGCAGCTTTTGGAGGGGTTGCGCTGGTGCTGCTGCTCGTGGTGGTGCAGGTCGTGGTGGTCTTGGTCGCTGCGTTGTGCTGTGCGCTGGTGTTCTTGCGCGTGGTGCTGGTCGCGGTCGTGGGCGTTGTTGCCGCTGCGGTGTTCCTGGTCGCGCTGGTGTTGCTGCGCGTGGTGTAAGTGGTCGCGGTGGTCGCCCTGCTGGTGCAAGGTGCTTTCTGCTGCTTCTCCTGCTGCGGCCGCCCGTATGCGCGCGGCTCTGGTGCGAGGGCTTGCCCTCTTCGCCTTTGCGCGCCAGGTAGAAGCGGTGGCTCCCGTTTCTGGGAGCTGCGGGGCTGCCAGTGTGAGCAAGGGTGGCGGGAGGGCATTGGCGGTAGCTGCAGTTCTGCGTTGCCCTTGTCGGCCCCGCGCGGGCAGGACGCGGCGGTAGCATCGTGGGCTGCCACTGGACGGCAGTGGCAGCCTCGTGTTGGCAACGCTCTGCGGTTGTCTGTCTCCGGCGTCCCCACCCCGGCCTGCATCATGACGGCAATTGCGCCCTCGTTTGTGTAGTCCGGTCTCGTGTTGGGTCCGAGGAGCGCGCGCAGGAGCTTTTGGATGCAGTCTCGCGTGCTTGGTGTGGATGAGTCGTGGTCGGTGTTGTGAGCTTGGAAGTCGGGCTGTGTGGTGGTCCGCTCTTCGATTTTTACGCTGCCCCGCGTCGCGTGCCGCCTCAGGTAGAACCGGTCCTCGAGGTTGGTCTGTCGCCTGGAGAAAGATCCCTGCTGCCGCATGGTCTCGGCATGTTCGTGGTAGGCGTGTGCCTCTCTGTTCGCTCTCTCCCTCTTCTCGGCGCGGCGTCTGGCGCGACGGCGGTTCCTCGTGGCGCACCGAGTGGGCCAAGGCGAGTGCCCAGCGCTGCGGAGTCTGAGCGTCTGGAAGTCGACCGGTGGGTCTGCGAGTCTGGGTCGGCTGTCTGTGTCTTCGGGCGGCGGGGCAGGTGTGAGGCTGTGCTCGCCTTGAGCCAGGTGGCGGAAGGGGTTCAAGCGGAGGGGGTCGGGGGCAAGTCGCGTCGTTGGGTGCTTAGTCGTAGTCGTGGTCGTGGTTGTCTTTGTCAGCTCGCGGCCTGGAAGGGCCCCTCCTGACCGAGTTTCTCGCTCCGCGCCCGCCGTGGAGACGAGGTCTCGGCGGGCTCGTCCTTCGCCCCCCGCCTCCCTGCGCCCGTCTCCTTCGCCCAGCCAGCGTCCAAAGACGCCCGGTGGCGGGCCTGGGCCCGGTGGGCGCCCCCCTTCGCCCGGAGCACTCCCCATGCTCCGAGCGTCGGCGCGCGGACCCCGTGGCCCCCTGGAGGGCGCCATGCCTGCGCCCCGCGCGCGCCCCTCGCGCGCGCCGGCCGCTGGGCTTGCTTGCTCCGCTGGGCTTGGCCCTTGGGCTGGGCTTGCTTGCTCCGCTGGGCTTGCTTGCTCCGATCTCACTTCCCACATCCCTCTGAGCAGTGATAGAGCCCGCTGCCGCTGCTCCTCTTTCGCGCACGCGCTGATCCCAGAGCTATAGCTGACGGCATCTGGCTCCACCTTCGCCTCCCCCATCTCGCTGGGCAGTGAAAGAGCCCGCTGCCACTGCTCGCCCCCCGTGTCAATTTGAACAAACGTCAAACATTTCAGAGCACGCAGCTTTAGCTGTGGCAGTGCTGCGTCGGGCTGCCCAGGGTGTGCACGATCGACCCAGTCCCGTCGCCGTCGACGACCAGTCGTTGTTCAGGGGCGTCGTGGACCCACCGAGCGCTTTAGGAGGTGCCTCTCCTTGTAGTTTCCTCTGTGGAGAGATGGCTCGGGCACACGTCTCCCTGGGTCTGACTTCGTAAACTCCAAGCCCATCAGGAGAGGAAGGAAGGACTGGACGGATACGCTCGCAATCTTGTTGCTGGGTCCACCGCCGCCGACTGGTGGGCCAAGCAAGGTGCGAAGATTCAAGATTGGGCGCCTGTGGAAGTTAAAACATTCGAGGAGGCCGAACAGCAGTATCCCAGCCTGTGCGTGGGGATGTGCGATGTTCTCGCGTGTTTTCCGAGCACAGAGTCCATGTACGGCAAGCTCCCAGAAGGGCCCCGAAGCCAGCAGTGCTTAGGAGACCTGTGAGCTTCCATATCCCCGTCCGCCCTGGAGACGTCCTCAGGTGCGGGCGGTGTCTTCGCGTTTTCGGTCTGAACACCTCCAGCCCTTGTGGAGATCTCACCCCGCTCTCTCGCTCCTTTTGACGGGGGGGCGGAGGGGGGGTACAAGCTCCATTGGGCCAGAGAGGTGTGCGCAAACATTCCATATGTTTTTGTATACTGTGTGGGGCCTTTGCTTCCTGTAAAGGAAGCGAGAAGCTCTGCAACCCCTGCACCAACCCTAAGCAGAGTTCGGAGAGGTCTTGGCTCTTGAAGGGTTAGTTTCTGGAAGCACTCATGGGCTTGGCCAGTCCTTTCCCCTCTCATCCCTTCCCGCCTTTGCCCCTGCCTCCTCCTCGACTGGGCCAGCCTGGTGATGGGCTTCTCTCGTAGTGGTGCGTCGGTTGCGCATGGAGTGACCAGGCGCGCATCGGTCACCGAGGTCACCGAGGAGGAGGAGGAGGAGGAGGAGGAGGAGGAGGAGGAGGAGGAGGAGGAGGAGGAGGAGGAGACGCAGCTTAGGGGGCGCAGCACAGGAAACGCAGCACAAGCAAACCGCACAGGCAGAGGTGCAGAGGAGGGCCCATGCCAGACCTGGGCCCGCCAGCGGGCTGATGGAAGGTGGCGGCCAGGCGACGTCGCTCGGCAGCGGCCCGCGCGTGGAGGAGCGGCCTGCCCAGGAGGAGGGCGCAGGGCGCAGCCAGGGACAAACCCGAGCAGGCCGCAGCGCTCATCGCGAGAAGAGGTGAATCGTTTGTCGTTTGGGCCCTTCCGCTTTCAGCCCCTGGCCGGGGAAAACGAGGAGCTAGAGGAGCGTGTCCGGGAGCACCACGCACAACGCCACCAGTGCGCCGAGCAACGCTACAAAGGCCACGACGTCCACGACCACGACCACGGAGACCAGCATCGACGCCACGACGAGCGACCCAGAGGACGGGATGGGGGCGCCCATGTGGGCGGCCCATGCGGACCCCACCAGAATGCGCCACAGGGGGCGGGCGAGGAGGAGAGGGCGCCACGCCGGGCGGCTTTTGCCCGCAAGGGCCTCCGCCGAGCCCGCCGGCGAGCCGCGTGGCAAGACCTGGAGGACGCGATCGCCGAGCACGTCATGCTCTTGGAGTGGGCGGCGGCCTTCGAGCGGCGCCGCGCTTTTCGGGCCGAGAGGTTCGACAGAAGGTGGGAGGAATGCGCGTGCCGAAGAGCGCTCGAGGCGGCTGGGGGCGAGGCGCCGCGCGACGAGCAACAGCAGCAGCCGAGGAAGCACCAGCACCAGCGCGCACAGGAGAGGCTGCGAGAGGAGGCAGACAGCAGGACGTCGCGGGACGAGCGGCGCGGCGGCCGGAAGACCGACCCGAGGAGGGCAGAGCCGCATGGGGTCGGATATTCCCAGTACCGACGCCCGCACCGACACAGGGAGATGGCGCGTGCCGGCATCGGCGAAGGCGCGCCGCGCGTAAGCATAGAGTAGCCCCGCCGCGAGCGCCACGAGCAGCCCCCCGCGAAGCAATGCCAACACAATGAGCTGCACCACCACCGCCACCACCACCACCGCGACCACCAACACGACGACGACGGCGGCAAGCAGCACAAGGACTACGACCAGCAGCACCATCATAACGACGACAAGCAGCACCAGCAGCACCACCACGACGACAACCAGCACCAGCGGCAGCACCGCCACTGTGACAAGCTGCAGCAGCTCCACCACCACGACCAGCAGCACCAGCACAGCAGCACCACCAGCAGCAGCAGCAGCAAAAACACCACCACCACAACGACGACCAGCACCAGCAGCACCACCGCAACCACCACGGCGACATCCTGCACCACCACCACCACCACCACCACCACCACCATCACGACAACGACCAGCATCGCCACGACGACGGCGAACGCCAGCCAAACGATTACGACCAGCGGCGCCACCGGCACTACGACGGCAAGCAACACCACCAGCACCACCACGACGACAACGCCCTGAACCACCACCAAACGCAGTAATATAGAGCGACGTCGCTTGAGCCCCAGCGATGCCGGAAGTAAGCACGGTGCTCGCTAGCCCTCGCCGATGACCTCCGTTCAAAACATCACTCGTACCTCGCCGTTTCCGTTATCCGACCCTCCCGCGCCTCGCCACTCCTGGACCCCTCGCTAGAGGGCTTCGCCCTACCAGAACGTGATCACTCGTACCTTGCTCTTCCCGTTCCCTGCTTGGCAGGGGGGCAGAAAGCGCTAGTACTCTGTGGGGGCGCGAGATCGCTTGCTCAATGTCTTGGAGCCCTCTTACTGTCAAGACTTTGGCACGGCCAACAGCACACTATCAACCAACCTTTCGAAAATCAATGAATCCGGCCTCTGCGGACCTTCTATGGTCCTTTTGGAAATCAATTGGGCAGTACCTCCTGATGCCATCTTGGGGCTCTATTGGGAACATTGTTGGGCCCTCAAGGGGCTCTTGGGCCGTAGCTCTCTGGGGCCGACTTGGAACCCGCTTGGGCCGTCTTGGGGCCGTCTGGGGGGGCTATTGTACCGTCTTGGAGCGATCCTGGAGCTCCTGTTGGGCCGTTGCGAACCAAGTGAAAACCAAAGAAGACCAAAGAAACAGATATGCTAAAAATGCAAATCCCCTAAAACAACTGAACGATTCTTGCATCTGGGGCGTCCTTTTTGAAAGTTTCTGGGCCCTCTTTGAGCGCTCTCAGGCCGTATTGGGACCCTCGTGGGCCTCCCTGAGGCCGTCGTGGCAGCAGCTTGGGCGCTCTTGGAGCCGTCTTGGGGCTGACTTGGGCCGTCTGAGGCCTAACATGACCGAAAATCTGAGCCATCAGATCTGGGATGGGCCCTGCCCACTCCCTCACACCCCTTTGATTTTTCTCGTAGCCATTTTGGCTCAAGGCAGGTTTGCTTCGAGCGGTGGCCGCATCCTGCGGTGCCCCCGGTTGCTCTGGTCCTCCGCCCCGGCGCTATGGAGTGCCGCGCGCGGGCGCCAGCAGCCTCAGGATCTGCAGCTGCAGACGTTCATCCACCAGCGCTTCATGAGATCGCCCGGCTCTTCAGGGATGAGGTGCAGCCATCGCGGACCGCGATGAACAACCTCGAGGGCCAGTTTACACAGCTGAGCGGGACAGTGGGGACGAGGATGAACTCAGCGGAGGAGCGGGTCGGGAGTTCGGAAGAGAGACTTGAAGAGGTGGAGATACGCCTCACGAACCTCGAGAACAGTTTTGACTTGAACGAGACGCCCCGCTCCAATGCGAGCGCCAACGACGACGTAACGGAGAGGATCCGAAAGTTAGAGATGCAGCTGTCTATGCTCCGGGTCGTCGGCCCGAACGCCACAGAGACTCAGGAGAAGGACAAGACCATGGTGCTCGGAGGCTTGCAGGGGCCCCGCGCGGCGGCCTCGGCTTGGCGTGAGCCCGCGCAAGGAAACAAAAAAAAAAGGACCTGGAGTCCGCGGAGAGGTGGGTCAACAACAAACTTTGGGAGGGGCATGGACCAAAGCCGGAGGAAGTCTACTCAAAGGGGGAACTCCGAGGCATCATCTTCGCAAAATTCGTCAACAACAGTGACAGGAATACTGCGGTAACCATCTTCCAGAGGGGCTCTTTCAACGAGAGGGGCAATCCCATCTGGGCAAAACAAGACCAACCACTCCCGAAACGTATCGTTACTTCCAGGGTGTTCGGGGTAAAATTTTTGCTGAAACAAGGGGGTTACGAAGCCAAGGCTGTTTGGGCAGATCCGGAGGGAGGCAAGGTCTGGGTAGGACAGGAGCTCGCAATGCACGTCGCCATCGACAACGGCAGCCTCAAGGTAGAGTACGGGACGGACTGGGAGGCCTGGTTCTCTGACGCAAACTACCCGGACTTGCCCAACCTCATTGCGAAGATGAAGAGCAAGTGGTAAATGCTTTAATGAAAAGAGCTGGGAAATCCTCAAACAAGGGGCAGAAAGGAGAGGGAAAGGGGAGGGGTAAGCATTAGGGACTCGGACGGCACATCGGCGTTTCACATCCCTGGGAGTCTTGCGCAGAATCTGTTTCCCAACACGGTGAGAGAGTTCATCCTGCGACCGCCCATGGGGATCTTATTTCTACCTTATCCTTGCCACGCAGTGCTTTGGCAGCACGCTTTCACGAGACGGGGCTGCTCACGGCAATTCCGCAGCACTACGATCCCGAGGCCGGTATGCATGGAGCGGCTTGCTTCGCGGAACGTTGAGGGACTATCGGAGGAGAAGAGCATGAATGAGACCGAGTTGAAACAAATACTATTGGTCATGAAAAATGAAAGTATCGACATATTGTGCTTACAAGAGACACACTTGGCTGGTTCAGCTAGTGTCTATACAACGACTACTTTGTGGTACTGTCAGGGGGGGTCGAGAAAGACAGGGAGCACGCTGGAGTGGGTTTCTTAGTATCTCCGCGAATCCGCAACTCGATTTTGAGTTTTTCGCAGCAGAGTTCACGCATCGCTACGCTGAAGATCAGAGTCGAGGGGGGCCAGATGAGCATCTTTACAGGTTATGCTCCACACAATGGCCGCCCAGGCCCAGTGGAGGAGCAGCAGAGCTTCTTTCACGAACTCGAGGGGGCAGCCCAAAAAGCGAAAACACATGAACCAATTATTGTTCTTGGTGATATGAACAGCAGGCTACTCAAAAGATGCGCAGGGAAGGAGGACGCATTCGGACCGCACGTGTTCGGCAATCCATCCGCAGAGCTCGATGCGGCGAACAACCGAGAACTAGTGGTAGAAACGTGCAGGTCTATGCGAATTGTGCTGGCGGACACTTTTATCGAGCGGCCCGTCCACGAACAGGCCACCTACTACGACCTCGCTGCCCAGCCAGGGGGCCAGCCGGAGGGAGCCAGGTGCAGCGGCCCCTTTCGCTGCGGACTCGGCCAGGGACTGGGACTGGGACTGGGAGGGGAAAAAAAAAAAAAAAAAAAAAAAAAAAAAAAAAAAAAAAAAAAAAAAAAAATCACTGCGAAGAAGTTTGCCGAGCTCGATCACAGTTTGGTGAAGAGAGGGTGGCTGGGAATAGTGCGCCGCGTACAGAGCAGGAGAGACATCGCATTACAATATCATCATTTTCTTGTTCTCGTGGACACCGCTGTGGAGATCAAGAAGCAGCCGCCCAAGACGCATAAGGAGATACGCGACACCAAAAGTTTGAAGTCACACTCTATTGCCGAGCACTTCTGCACGCGCTTTTCAAAAAGGTGCCTCGGACTTTCTGCGCAGAGATGCACAACAGCAGGTTGATTTGATGGCGGAGACTGTGAGAGCTGCCCTGGAGGCCGCTGCGGAAAGTACCCTCCCAGTCAGATCTGTCATCGCGAAACGGCCAGGGATTCAAACAGCCACCCTTGACCTTATCGAGCAGCGAAACACTGCCCGGGCTGAGGGGCAATTCGTGTTAGAAGTTTTTTTTTTTTTTTTTTTTTTGTTCCTCCCCCTTCCTTACCCCAAGGCTGCCGCGTCCCCTTGCGGCCAGTGCGGACCCCCCGCGCGCCCGCGGTGAGTGTGGGGCGGGGGCGCGCCCCGAAGGAGCGGGGGGTTTTCGGCCGAAGCCAGGGCAACCCCGAACCTCCCGCCAGCTAGCCGCCCCGCCGGGGGCCTCCCGCCCAGCTGCCCCAAGCCCCTCGGCGCCCCAGGAGCGCCCGGGGCGCCCTCGGCCAGCCGCCGCCAGCCGCCGCCGCCAGCCGGCGCCTTGTGCCGCGGCGCCCGGCCCGTCGCCGCCAGTCGCCGGCCAGCCGCTCGTCGCAGCGCCGCGCCGCCGGGCCTGCCGCCGCCAGCCGGTGCCGCCGCCGCCGCCCTCGGGGCGGCGCTGGCGGCGCAGCTTACGGCCTCCGCGCGGCCGCGCCGCCGCGGGCCGCCGCGCTTCGCCGCGGCGCCTGGCCCGTCGCCGCCTGCCGCAGGTCGGCCGCAGGCCGCCGCGCCTCGCCGCCGGTCCTGCCGCCGCTGGTCGCCGCGCCCGCCGCCGCAGGTCGCTGGGCAGAGGGTTGTGGCTTAGGAGGGCCGAATCCTCCCCCCTCTGCCCGTGCGCGAACCTGCGGCGGCGCCGCGCCTCGCGGCGGTGCGTTCGCCCTCCGCGCCGCCGCGCTGCCTCGGGCCAGCGCCAGCGTCTCCTCCGCCGCCTCCGCCGCCGCCGCCGCCTCCTCCTCCTCTGTGCTGCTGGCTGCTGTCGTGGTGCTGCTAGTCGCCGTGCTGCCCCTGGTCCTGGTGGTGCTGGTCGCCGTGGTGGTGCTGGTCGTAGTGGTGCTGGTCGCCGTGGTGGTGCTGGTCGCCGTAGTGGTGCTGGTCGTGGTGGTCCTCCTGGTCGTGGTGGTGCTGGTCGTGGTGGTGCTGGTCGCAGTGGTGGTGCTGGTCGCCGTGGTGGTGCTGGTCGCCGTGGTAGTGCTGGTCGTGGTGGTCCTCCTGGTCGTGGTGGTGCTGGTCGCCGTGGTGGTGCGGGTCGTAGTGGTGCTGGTCGCCGTAGTGGTGCTGGTCGCCGTGGTGGTGCTGGTCGTGGTGGTCCTCCTGGTCGTGGTGGTGCTGGTCGTAGTGGTGCTGGTCGTGGTGGTGCTGGTCGCCGTGGTGGTGCTGGTCGTAGTGGTGCTGGTCGCCGTGGTGGTGCTGGTTGCCGTGGTGGTGCTGGTCGTGGTGGTCCTCCAGGTCGTGGGGCTGGTCGTGGTGGTGCTGGTCGCTGTGGTGGTGCTGATCGCCGTGGTGGTGCTGGCCGTGGGCGTGGTGGTGCTGGTCGTGGTGGTAGTGGTAGTGGTCCTCTGGCCGTGGTCGTGCTGGTCGTGGTGGTGGTGGTGCTGGTCGTGCTGGCCGTGGTCGTGCTGGCCGTGGTCGTGGTGGTGCCGGTCGTGGTGGTCGTGGTGGTCCTCCTGGCCGTGGTCGCGCTGGTCGTGGTGGTGGTCGCCGTGGTGGTGCTGGTCGTGGTGCTGGTCGTGGTGGTTCTCCTGGTCGTGGTGATGCTGGTGGTGGTGCTGGTCGCGGTGGTGGTGCGTAGTCGTTGTGCTGGTTGCCGTGGTGGTGCTGGTCATGGTGGTGCTGGTCGCCGAGGTGGTGCTGGTCGTGGTAGCCCTCCTGGTCGTGGTGGTGCTGGCCGCAGTGGTGCTGGTCGCCGTGGTGATGCTGGTCGCCGTGGTGGTGCTGGTCGCCGTGGTGGTCCTCCTGGTCGTGGTGGTGCTGGTCGTGGTGGTGCTGGTCGCCGTGGTGGTGGCGGTCGCCGTGGTGGTGCTGGCCGTGGGCGTGGTGGTGCTGGTCGTGGTGGTGGTGGTCATAGTGGTCCTCTGGCCGTGGTCGTGCTGGTCGTGGTGGTGGTGCTGCTGGTCGTGCTGGCCGTGGTCGTGGTGGTCGTGGTCGCCGTGGTGCTGGTCGTGGTGGTGGTCGTAGTGCTCCTCCTGGCCGTGGTCGCGCTTGTCGTGGTGCTGGTCGCCGTGTTGGTGCTGGTCGTGGTGGTCCTCCTGGTCGTGGTGGTGCTGCTCGTGGTGGTGCTGGTCGCCGTGGTGGTGCGTAGTCGCGGTGCTGGTCGTGAAGGAGGTGCTGGTCGCCGTGGTGGTGATGGTCGCCGTGGTGGTGCTGGTCGTGGTAGTCCTCCTGGTCGTGGTGGTGCTGGCCGTGGTGGTGCTGGTCGCTGTGGTGGTGCCGGTCGCCGTGGTGGTGCTGGTCGTGGTGGTGCTGGGAGCCGTGGTGGTGCTGGTCGCCGCGGTGGCGCTGGTCGCCGTGGTGGTCCTCCTGGTCGTGGTGGTGCCGGTCGAGGTGGTGCTGGCCGCCGTGGTGATGCCGGTCGCTGTAGTGGTGCCGGCCGTGGTCCTGGTGGTGCTGGTCTTGGTAGTGGTGGTCGTCGTGGTGGTCCTCTGGCCGTGGTCATGCTGGTCGTGGTGGTGGTGGTGCTGGTCGTGCTGGCCGTGGTCGTGCTGGCCGTGGTCGTGCTGGCCGCGGTCGTGGTGGTCGTGGTGGTCCTCCTGGCCGTGGTCGCGCTGGTCGTGGTGGTGGTCGCCGTGGTGGTGCTGGTCGTGGTGCTGGTCGTGGTGGTTCTCCTGGTCGTGGTGGTGCTGGTGTGGTGCTCGTCGCTGTGGTGGTGCGTAATCGTGGTGGTCGCCGTGGTGGTGCTGGTCGCTGTGGTTGTGCCGGTCGCCGTGGTGGTGCTGGGTCGCCGTGGTGGTGGTCGTGGTGGGTCGTGGTGGTGCGTGGTGTGGTGGTGCTGGTCGCCGTGGTGGTGCTGGTCGTGGTGGTGCTGGTCGCTGTGGTGGTGCTGGTCGCCGTGGTGGCGCTGGTCGCCGTGGTGGTCCTCCTGGTCGTGGTGGTGCTGGTCGAGGTGGTGCTGGCCGCCGTGGTGGTGCCGGTCGCTGTAGTGGTGCCGGCCGTGGTCGTGGTGGTGCTGGTCTTGGTAGTGGTGGTCGTCGTGGTGGTCCTCTGGCCGTGGTCGTGCTGGTCGTGGTGGTGGTGGTGCTGGTCGTGCTGGCAGCAGTCGTGCTGGCCGCGGTCGTGGTTGTGGTCGTGGCGGTCCTCCTGGCCGTAGTCGCGCTGGTCGTGGTGGTGGTTGCCGTGTTGGTGCTGGTCGTGGTGGTCCTCCTGGTCGTGGTGGTGCTGGGCGTGGTGGTGCTGGTCGCCGTGGTGGCGCGTAGTCGTGGTGCTGGTCGCCGTGGTGGGGCTGGTCGCCGTGGTGCTGGTCGCCGTGGTGGTGCTGGCCGTGGTGGTGCTGGTCGTGGTGGTCCTTCTCCTCCTCCTCCTGGTCGTCGTGGTCGTCGTCGTGCTGGTGGAGGTGCTGTTCGTAGTTGTGCTGGTGGTGGTGGCGGTGGTTGTGGTGCTGTTCACAGTAGCTCTGCTGTCGGCGTTCCCGCGAGCTGCTGTGCCCCGCCCTGACCGTGCGCGCCCCCACGCGGGGGCCGGTGCTCTCAGGGGAGC